TCTAAGTTGCTGAATTACTTTTTGTTTTAACTTTTTATTGATTCTTTGTGGATTTCATATGATGCATCCTGATCCCATTCACTACCCTGTCCCCTCCCTTCTGTGCCCTGTCCCTGGAAAGTCCCCCAGAAACAAAATTTAAAAGTAAAACCAAAAAACCCTCACCAAATCAAATCAAACCCACCAACCAAACAAAAACTATTTTAAAAAATCTTGTGGTGGAAGGTGTAGTGTGTGCCAGTGAGTCACACAGCATACCCTTTAGCCCATATACCTTTACTTGTAAGTGTTCATTGCAATGACTCATTAGTCTGGTACGAGGCCTCTGGCTTCTGCTACACTCTTGATATCCTATTGTTGCCTGTGTTGTGGAGATCCTGTTGCTTTGGATCTGCAGGTCCAGCCCCTTCACACGCTCCAGCAATTCATAGAGAAAGTGGCTACCTGGTACTGGTTCTGGGCCTGGGTAGTAGCTGGAACCAGCTTTCCCTCATCAACACCACCAGGGCGAGCTCTATGGCACTGCCCCAGCTAACTTACCCAATGTAGCAGACAGCAAGGGGGGGGGGGCAATTCTGCTCTCATACTCTCATGTCTGGTTTACTCACACTCACACCATCAGGGCCAGCTTTACTGTACTGATCAAGCAAGGTGCAGAGTCAGATCTCCCAACTGCTGCGTTTGTTGAGGGGCTTGCCCAGATCCTCCATTATTATGCTCCTGATCCTGGCAAGGCAGGAAGGTATATTTTGAGGAATGGAGTAGGGACAACTCTTCTGTTCTCACACCCACAGTCCTGGATCACCTGTGCAACTGCCAACAGGGTCAGATCTAGGGTGCTGTCCAGGCAAGGTGCCGTGCCCTCTCTCTGATGGGCTACAGCTGCTGAGGTTAGGGCCAAGTTTCTCACCCTCAGTGGCCCTGGGGCCAGTCTCTCACCTGCTACAAGTGGCAACGGGTGAGGGGAGGAAAGGCATTTTTCCCCCTCACCTATGCCACCACATGGCAGTTGAGGGGGACAGGGTCAGTCTTCCTGCTCTTTGCCCCTGGGCCACCTCAACTGTGCCCCTGACAACAGGGTCAGCTGTGTTGTACTGCCCAGGCAAAGTGCATAGCTCGCACTTGTGAACACTGCTGCTGATGGGGGGGCGGTGCCAATTTTCCCACTCCAATGACCTCATAGCCAGTTTACATGCCCTGTCTGTGGCAAAGGGCAAGGGATGGGGGAAGTCATCTCTCCCTCTCCCACCCTACCATATGGCAGATGAAGGGTAGAGTCAGATCTCCAATGTATGTTCACCTGGACCCCAACAATGGGGTAAGATCTGTGCTGCCTGGGCTAGGTGCAAAACTACTCTCAGAGTTGGTGAGGGGCAGAGTCAACTCTCTCTAGTGCTGCAGCAAGTGAGGGGAAGAGTCAACTCTGTGTTGCCCAATACTTATTGATTTTGGAGGTAACGGAAACCCTGGACATGAGGCTGTTGCAGGGCCACTGACCCAGACATGGCCCCTGGCACCAGCCCAGGTCTGGATGACACCATGGTGCTGGGTGTTTGTGCAGGCTACTCAGATCTGCATGGCCCTGGGAGAGGCTCAACCCTCAGATACTAACATGGTCCTAGATGATGGCCCAGGCTCTTGACATCCTTGTGGCCCTTGGTGGCCCTATGGGCCATGGACATTAATAGAGACCCCAGCTATGTTTGGACCATGGACGCAGACATGGTCCTTGACAGCAGCCTGGGCCAGTCATCATGGCCCAGGTTGGCAGTGCTAGTCACTCAGATCGCCATGAACACAATGACATCATGGCCCTGGAAACCCATATGGCCTCAGGTGAGAGCCCAGATAACGTGGTTAAATAAGGATCAGGATAAACAAATAGGCTGAATAGATGTTTATTCAGGGAGAAATAACTTACAACCTAGACAGATGAACACCAGGAAATTCAACCCGATCCTCTCCTGTCCGAGTCACGCCAGAAAGAGAGCGCCTTTCCTGGCCCCCTCAGACCTCCTTCCACAGGTCACTCCGCCCATGGCTCCACCCCCCAATGGGCGTGGTCAGTGCCACAGAACTATCTCACTACAATTCCCCTTTTAGTCTAAAGAAAAGATTTAGGCTTTATACAAAACAGTGAATAACAAGTGTGCTCTAAGAAAAGGAAAATCGAGAACAAAATGACCTACATATCTAGTCCTAGGGTAAGGGCATAATGGAGTTTACAATAGAGTTGTCCTAAGCTGGAAAAGGTAAGTCTAGTACCTAATATATCTAACTAGGAAGAGAGAATAATAGGTATGATAGTTTAATCTTCAACCTCATCAAGACCTGAGAAGGAAATTAACAATACTAGAGTAGACAGGAAATGCGCATGGACAACTTCCAAAAGGTGCAGCAAGGACAGAAACAGCAAGCCACCTGAACAGTCACCCTAGGTCTCACAGCCACGTTGGTACACCCAGATTTGGCTAAGGCCAAGATAACTTGACAGACCACAACAACAGCAGGGAGGTAGAATGGCTGTCTTACCCTGACTTGGCAAGGTCAAGCAGTCTTCTATATTTGTCTCCTGCAAGCACATAGGACTGTATGTCCAAATCAGTGGTCAAGGTGGGGGCAATTCTTTGCCCAACAGGCCATTAGCTGAGGCGAGATTGAACTCCAGCAGGAGCAACAACAGTCATCCACGTGGCCTTCAATGGCAACAGATCTTCAGCCATCACTGCAGACTCTGGCTGAGTAACCCAGACATCAACATGGTCACATGTATGGGCCCAGGCTCCAGACATCCACAGGGACCTCAGTGATAAAGCAGGAGCTATGGACATCAACACATACTCCCAGAGTTGCCTCAGGGCCACGGCCCAAGTCATAGACCTTGGTAGCAGTCAAGGCCCAGATATTGCCATGGCCCTGGGTGTTAAGAAGGACATCCACCTCAGCTGGTTCATAACGACCTCTTCAGATCTGCCTCTTTTTCAGGCACATGGATTGTTCTCTCTCTCTCTCTCTCTCTCTCTCTCTCTCTCTCTCTCTCTCTCTCTCTCTCTCTCTCATTGTGGCACCCTGTACTCATTGTATGGCAGGCTTGTGCCTGAATTCTAGGTCTCTAGCCCTGGGGTGGAGGTATGCTTGCCAGGCCTAGGAATTCCAAGTGGCTGGGTGAATTCTTCCTGCCCCAGGTCCCAGGGGGAGTTAAAATTTTAATCAAAATTATCTGTAAACACTTAAGGAATCACAACACATTGTAGGAAACAACTGTCAATTACAAGCTTTTTAATCCTGACGATTAATGAAAATATATGCAGATGCCTGGGTGTGGTAGAAATTCATTAAAAGGAAGACTTCAGGCTAAGTTCACAGAATAGAGGCTGCCCCTGTGTGAGGTGATAAAGGAAAGGTAGAAAAATTACAATTAAACAGAAACCTTATTCCCAAGAGAATTTTGAGCATCTATTGTCAAAGTCTATGCCCATTGGGATTTATATCCTACCAATATGTGACCAGAATGCTGACACCTTGCTACAAGTTTTAATGTGTGACCTGCTGGGTTTCAGTCTTAGTTTGGTCCCATCTCTCCTCTCTATGCTCCCATATCTCCATTTTGGGACAAGAATGTTCATCCTTTGCTATTGTATGTTGGAACTGTATAAAAGCTTTTTTTTTTTTTTTTTTGAGACAGGGTTTCTGTGTACAGCTTTTAGCTGTCTGGAAACTCACTCTGTAGTCCATGGTGGCCTTGAACTCACAGAGATCCACCTGCCCAGCCTCTGAGTGCTGGGATTAAAGGCATATGTGAGCACCTTCTGACTATAAATTCTATTTCAATGTTTACAGTGGCTCATAGGCAAGAGTTTGCTTTGAGTCTCGCAGGAGATTTTTAACTGGACCTTTTGAACAATTCTAGAATTGTTACGATTAATGGGCTTATGGAGACAGGGTGAGTATATGCTATTGTGTCCAGTTGACCATAGGTATACTTATTATGATAGATTTTCTTTGATAATCTGACTAGATTTTAGAATCAGCAAGGAATCAAAGTTGAGGCACATCTTTGGACATTTCTGTGAATGTCCTGAGGAGAATACAGGTGACAGGATCCATGAACTTAACTGGTTGGAGAGAATAAAAGGGGAAGGGAGAAAGCCAGCACAGTGCCTGTATTTCCCTCTCTGCTTCCTGGCCAACCATGGTGTGAAGCTGCTTTTCTCTCTTATGTCTTCCCCATCATGAGAGACTGAACCTCCTGAAGCCATGTGCAAAATAAATCTTCATTTTGAGTTTTCTGATGATTTGGTGGTCATAACAATGAAAAAGATAACTGACATACAGATACATTGATCAAATATTACTGACAGATTATTATCATTAAATCAAATTATTTTATTTGTCACCATCCCCCTTGACTCAGTGAGACATTTCCATTGCTTTGGGTGGACTTTATATAACTTTTCTGTCATGCTTTTTACCACAGTCTTAGGGACAGAAGAGTCACAAACGTGTAATAAGAAATTATCCATACTCAAGGAATGAATACCAAGGATAGGCAAATTAAGAGATAATTCTTTAGAATCTGACTGTGAAATTTTCTTTTTCATATTGTCCACTACAATACATAGTAGTGAACTCATGTACTTTGCATTAAGTCTCAGTGCCCCCTTGGGACACCTTCTTGGGAATCAGACGTATTTTGGAAAAGGAGATGACACATTTACTGAGCTTCTCTTCACTCTTGAGATTCCCACCATCCACACACTCTCATAATGAAGCAAGAACACCCCATCTACCCAAGCCTTCTCTAGAATGTTGTGATATAAGCCAGTTTTCATTCTCTGACACTGACATAGAAAGAACCAACCGCAAGAGATCCCCAACCTCTCCAGTAGGAAGACACCAAAACTTTGAGGTCTGCTGAAGGCTGATTAGGAGTGGCCAATGGTCCTAGAATAGCATATGAAAGCTATAGCAGAAAAATGAGTGGATCTTTCTTTCCCATGTTACCCAGAGTCTGTGCCTCTCCCTACCACCTTCCACAGAGCCCCCTTCACATCTTTGTTCCTCAGGGTATAAATCAGAGGGTTGAGCATGGGGGTGACGATAGTATAGAAAAGGGCAACAAACTTCCCCTCACTCTCAGAATAGGTGCCCTTGGGCTGTAAGTATGTGTAGATGGCTGAGCCATAAAATAGAGAAACCACCACAAGGTGGGACCCGCATGTCCCAAAAGCTTTTCTACGTCCAGTATTTGACTTGATCTTTAGTACTGCCCTGGCAATCTGTGCATAGGAGCCCAGAATGAGCATGGCTGGAAAAGCAACAACGACTACTCTGGCCACAAACATCTTGGCCTCTGTTCCTCCCGTGTCCTCACAGGCCAACTTCAGGAGAACAGGCATCTCACAGAAGAAATGATTCAGTTCATGGCCACAGAGGGGCATGGCCATCATGAGACTTGTCTGGATGAGCGAGTTTATGAAGCCTCCCCCCCAGGAGACAATAGCCAATGATTGGCAGAGAAAGGGATTCATAATGGTTGTGTAGTGCAGGGGACGACACACAGCAGCATAGCGGTCAAAGGCCATCACCACCAGGAGCACACACTCAGTAGATCCCAGAGCAAGAAATATGTATAGCTGGGCCACACACCCACCATAGCTGATGGTTCTGTCAAGTCCCTGAAGGTTGATCAGGAGCTGGGGCACAGTGCTAGTGGTGTAGCAGAGGTCCAGGAAGGAGAGATTGGAGAGGAAGAAGTACATGGGAGTGTGAAGTCTAAGGTCCAGTCTTGTAAGAGCAATGATGGTTGTGTTGCCAAAGATAGTTAGGGAGTAGAACATCAAAATGATGACAAAAAGGAAGACTTGTAGTTGAGGCCAATCTGAGAAACCCACCAAAATGAAACTCTCTTGTGAAGTGCTGTTGAAATTTCCCATAGCCGTTCACCTGCTCAAACACTAAAACTCAACTCATGGTTTCCTAAAGGAGCATGGGTTCAAACACTACTCTCAGTATTCTACAAATACTCAAAATTCATGCTTATCATCTTCTAATTTGCTATTCCATCCCATTGGTCCGGTCTTCTTTCTATTCTGTCCTTCAGATAGGAAATCTCTGGATTAAGGTATTGTGGCCCTTGTTAGAACTTCAATCTTGCTGTCTGGATTTTTCCAGACAACTCAGGCTTTAGGTCCAATGCTTCTTTGTCTGAAGGTAGGAATCCTATATTGCTTCCATGACAGCACTGAGATGCAAATCCAAATGCAGTCACATGGAAACTACATTAAAAGTTTGATTTGGCCTTTGATAGCTGTTGGGAGAGGAAGGATCAGTTTCCTTTAATGATGTGACCCCTTGCAGGCTGACCACATACCAGGGCATGCCTCACTCTCAAGACTTGTTGAGCAGCACAGACTCAACTGGGTGAGGGAAATTAAAAAAGAAAAGAAAATCTCAAAGTTGGATGGATGGTGGGAAAAGTGGTTATAACTGATTTAAGGTTGTTGTGAATATGTTGAAAGTACAGTGTATGAAATTCTCAAATAATAAATGAAATATTGTTAAAATTTTAATGTAGTGTTCATGGTGCAGATGACTGATAAGGAAGTTGTCTAGCGTGTGTAAGATTCTATATCCAACTGCCGGCACCTGAGAAAATGTGAATGTATACATAGATTACATGAACTTTACAACAAGACAGTTTTAGTGCTGTTGTCATTGGTTCCTCTTTTTGGTTTATGAGCCAGGATTCTTCAAGAAGCTAAAGATCCAGGATTAACCAGGCTAAGATCATAGATCTGCTCCCCAGTGCGTATTTGCTTCCCTTTGCTGAGTGTATGTGATCCATGCCGCAGCAACAGAAGGCTCATTCAAGGCAGCAGTCTCCTGACTGAATGACTGAAAAGAGTATTCATCTGTCTCAGTAGGAAACAAAATGGATTGTCATAAATATGTGGCTTGTCATGTACCACCATGCTTGAACATGTGCCTAATCTGATATCGCTGATAATGCCAATTTTGAACATCTCTGGAAAAGGTGTCTTCTCCTCTGAAGCCAAAATTTCTTTGTATACTTTCTATCTGGACTCTCGTACTGCTTTTCAGTTAACTGCACAAGGATTTTTTTTTAAATTTAAAGTAGAAACAATCTTATTTTATATATCAATCCCAGTTCCCTCTCCGTCCCTTCCTCCCATACCCCCGCACCAGCCCCACCCCATCTCTCTTCTGCTCTATAGAAAGGGTGAGGTCTTCTATGGAGGATCATCAAAGTCTGTCACATCGTTTGGGACAGGGCCTAGGTCCTCCCCCTTGAGTTGCACAAGGATTTTTAACTGTCCTACTCCATCAGTGATACTTACAATGAACTCACTAAATTACTTTACACTTCTTTGTCCTCTTCCAAGCTGAGATTATCCTAGACACTTAGAAAAATGGGGGTGGGGTGGGCTGGGAAGGTAATGTCTTATATTACAGTATATGAAAGGCATTAAATTAATGCTACTTTCACTTAGCCATGTAGAAGTTACTGAATAATTTGAGTAAAATATTTGACTCTCCTTCCAAATCTCACTAACATCCATGTCCTCCATCAATTTTGAGAAATAACCATAAATGCACTTTAACAAACTATGTTAGCAAGATGTGGATAAAAGTCACCTTCTCTTATTAGTGGACATTCATAACAGATTTAAAAATCAGAATAGGATATGCCAAAGCAGGAAAAGATTTTAGAATCCAATAGAACCTTCACCTATGCTCTATACAAGCAGTTCTGGCAAATAACACATTATTCTTTTCACTGAGTCTACTATACTGGAAGTCATCACCAGTGCCCCAGCTGGAACAATGGCTCCAGGAAGGTATTTGACTACCATGCTTGAAGCCTCTGTGGGAAATATGAACAAAGAGTGAATTGTGAAAGAGAGTGTGAATACACACACAGTGTAACCAGGACACCTAAGATGGTTTTGAATGAATCTGACAGATAAGTACAGGTGTTTATGAAGGTCACAATCACACCTCTACATATGGACTTTAATCATCTTTTATGGAGGCTTGTTTCACATAAGTATAAAACAATCAATTTTACAAGGTTTTGATTGAGAGTAAGTGCTGTAAAGCATTCTGAAATGAGAAAAATGCCATGTACTTCTACTAGTGGTCTGTCTACACAGCTAATCTTTAAGTATCATGTGTTTGGGTCTTCTCAATTATCCACTCATTTCCCAGTTAACTGCTTGGGGGAAATGGGATCTCAACAAATGTTGAACTTATTAGTGAGTACATAGCACTTATGGTATACCTTGCCTGATATCATAAAAATTTCAGAAATACTTTTCTTGAAGTAGGGAAGAATTAAGGCTTTCATCTTGCTCCTCAGTTACTAGCATAAGGAATTTAATTGTCTCTATCCTACCAATAATGTCTATAATGATATGTAGACAGCTTAATATACTTGCAGTACATGATTAGATTGACATATAAAAGTTGCTGGAATTACAATACCAAAGGATCTCAGCAAAACAAAAGAATATGTTGCAGTGGCTGACACATCTGTAAGGCTAAGTTCCTACCACATAAGTAAGGCAGAATTAACTTTACCTGCAAATTTTCAGATGGACAGAAATAGAATAGAAGAGATTAAATTAAAAGCTTTTAAGTCACATATTTTAAAAGTAGAAAATGAAAATGACCTGGATGTATTGACCAAAAGGTAAATAAAAACCAGCAGTGCTGACTTAACTCTGGATTTTTAACAAATGCAAGCTGAGCCTAGAAAAAAAAAACTCATAAGCTGTGACCGCTTTGGTTTAGAGGAGAACTTGAAAGTCATTCCCTCCACAGATGCCCCATATGGTATACCTCCCACACCTGAACACATTCTTCAAACCAGGACTTCTCTATAAAACCCGTGTGCATTTCCTTAGTCTTATGTGTTTCCCCACTATGTCCTTAGTTATTTTTTTTGAGACAGGGTTTCTCTGTATTACTTTGGAGCCTGTCTTGGAACTAGCTCTGTAGACCAAGCTGGACTCTAACTCACAGAGATCCACTGCCTCTGCCTCCCCAGAGCTGGGATTAAAGGCATGAGTCACCAATGCCCAATCCTTAGTTATTCTTGTCATATTTATGGTTAATTTATTTTTGACTCCTCAAGCTATCATTTCTACTTTTTCTGGCTAAAATCCTTCTTTTATTTTCACTCTATCTCATGCAACCAGTTCTAGAAAAATGTAATTCAGCATAGCCATCATGTCTGAAATTAGACCCACTAGTTGACCTATCTCATTCAGCCTTTTAATTTCAGTGTCTAGAATAATGACTTCTACATAAAAGTCCTCCATAGGTTCTTGACCTGAAGTACTCCCTTACACCAGCTCTTCAGCGGTTCCTTTGGAGAACGTGAATTCTTACAGCAATTCAAGTATTCCTTAAAAAGTGGGCTGTGACAGTATCCTATATCCTTGAGAGCTGTTCTTTGATTTGGAAATCTAGTTTACAAGGTAAGATTTCCAATTATAGGTAGTTCAAAAGGTGAAGGCTTTCCCACCTCATTCTCTATTGACTTTCCTCTGTATAAGCAAGATCTTGTTTATATGTGATCCATCTTTGTGGAATATGTACTGCTTTGTAATCCCCAGAGTCCAGAAGAGGGTACACCAATCTGCTCACCATAATACCTATGTTTACCTGGTGTCCCATTTATCTTGAGGTTGATGCCATCAATTCACAGCTCTCCTTGTTTGCACACTATTCATGTATCTATCACTTGGGTACCAGTTATTGCAGTTATGACATCTTCTCAGTCACTCACTGAGTTTTTCTTCACTCTCTTTTTGACTCTGGTAACCAGAGTCTTCTTGATTATACACAGATTCTGAAATCAATGAAAAAAAGTCTTATGGGAGTCTTTTGCTACTTTAAAGAACACCTCTATACTATTCCTCACATGAATCCAATAATAGGCCTCTGGAAAATGCCACACACTATTCCTAGTTGCATATCTCATAACTCAGTCTGATTTCTTCCTCTGTCTCACTGGCTCAGGGACTGGACAGCACTAAACCTTCCTGAGTGAGACCAGTACTTGTGGGTGAAGATGTGGCAGACTTGTTAGGGTACACACATATAAACATACATGTTTTCCAATTGACTAACCTACATACACATAGGAAAACAATGACTTTCAAGTTTTACTGTATTCCATATACAAGTAGAGTAACACTTCAGCAATTTATATTTCCTTTTATATTGTATACTTATTTTATCCAGTAAAAAATTAAATAATATTACCTAATGAAAAATGTGCTAATTAGTAATGCTTTCATCTCAGTCACCCACTAGTTGTTCAAAAATCATCCCCCTATAACTTAGCAGTATAAAAATAGACTGCCTAGAAAATTTTATATTCTCAAAAAGACAAAACTTCTATATTAAATTCTGAAAGTTGAACCTTTCAGGATGTTAGAAAAATGTCTCTGTATTAACTGAATAATTGGGATGGGTTAGACCCTCCTGCTCAGCTGTGGTTTCCCTCATTTTTCTGATCTTAAGTGTTTAAAGGTTGAATCCCTACTCCTAATCTCCTTGGCACACATAAAGTAGCTTGACATTTATGCATTTGCTTTCTGAAGTATAATAGTCACTAGTCATCTGTGTTAAAGTATGTGTTTATGTCTGAGCATGTGCACACATCTGTGTACCTATGCATGAGCTCTATAAATAACATTTATGATCAGCAATCAGAAACAGGTTCATGATCAATCCTCCACAGTGAGCCTAACTTTTAAAATATAGGACCTCACTCACTATGTCTTTGAAACAGACTTTGACCTCACATCCTCCTATCTTTTTCTCCCAAGTGTTGAGATTATAGGCATGTACCACCATTACCAGTTCACTGTCAACTAACTGCATGACATTTTCAGAATAC